ACCCAATGTTGTCATCGTTGTAAATAAGTTCATATTTAACTTGTTAGCATTTATTTGTCCCACTTTGAAATTATATTGTATATAAAGAGTATGTGCTACCCTAATCTTCTATCTTCATTTTCTTTGTTTTGCGCCTGACTTATTTAGCAAGACTTGTTTTTTATTTAAATTCTATCCTTGAGAAAACAAATGAGCCGTTTTTCTATGATTAGATTGTTGAAAATAAACTATATTATTCGTTCTTTCAGTCTTTCTTTTGATCTCTTCTTTATCCTTTTGAATAGTTCACTGACTAGAACGTTAAAGCCTTGAGTTAACTTTTCAAGAAATTAACAATTAAAATACTTTTACGAGCTTTTGATTAAATGGTCGTACTCTTAAATATGATAGTGCAAGAAAAAGTATGTTATGTTGTTCTAAAGTTTCTCGAAGTTAAATTCATTTCACGTTACTTATGAAAATAACCCCATGTCGCTACAGTGCGGCTTTCACTGACAGAAACCAAGAGTTTTTTCTTTCAAGCAATGTGATGAATCGCAGAAAAATGTATATTGTTGGCTGTTTACAATTTTTTTACTGTGGGATTTTATGATAACTCATTAATGGGTCTGTCTGATAACATCATTCTATTATGGAGGGATTTAAGATAATTTTTCAATGGGTCTGTCCGGTATTAGAATGGTGTTATTGATTGCTTATATGATAATTCTTTTTGTAGGTCTGTCTGTCAACAGAATTGTAACTGTAAGACCAGTCTTCTTCATTGTTTGGCTTATAGAACATTTATGTTACGGAGTGCTTGTGTGATACTATTTTCATTTTGTACGGTTCTGTTTGCTAACTGAATTTTATTTATTAGGATGAGACTGAGAGAGAGAGAGAGAGAGAGAGAGAGAGAGAGAGAGAGAGAGAGAGAGAGAATCTATTCTTTCCACTTACACAGTGAGTTCTCCTTAAATATTTATGTAAGTCCTTTTCTATAGTGAAGCAATTGTCGGCTGACAGAATTATGATCTTTATGTTGTTGTTGTTGGGCTTAACGCCATTTTTCAGCACACGATAGGCTATTCATGGCAGCCAGTATTAATGGTGGAGGAAGAAACCGGGAAATCACCGGAAAGAACCACCGACCCACGAGAAGCTACTGGCAAGCTTTCTCACATATCCACATTCGCCGAATCCTAGACTCGAACCCACGCAGACAGAGGTGAGATGGCAGTGATCAGTAACGGACAGCGCTTTAGACCACTCGGCCACTCGGGGCCCCTGATCTTTATGTGCTGAGATATTAGTCAAATAATTTTCAGCCGTGAGACAGAGAATAAAAATAGTCGTGCATGTAAAAAACATTGCACTGTTCTGACTCACTTTTCAATAGTTTTTATTGTTGTGGTCTTAATACAATTTTCAGCACACGATAGCCTATATATGGCGACCAGTATAACTGGTAGATAAAGAACCCGAGAAAACACCAGTAAGAGCGACCGATCCACAGGAACCTACTGGCAAGCTTTCTCTCATACCCACACAGACCGAGTCTGAGCTCGAGGTCAGATGGCAATGATTGTTAACAGCGAGCACTTTAGAACAACTGGTCACACGAGGCCCTTATTTTTCAAAAGCAAAAGTTTGCTGTATTTATGTTTCTTTGTTTGTTTATTGTTTTGTAAATACGCGAGTATTCTATGGCAAAAATTCTTCGCTTAGATTTTGCAACATTGTGACTACTTTTCCATTGATCTTAATTTTCAATCCCATCCAACCATACACTGTTATTTAAAATATCTTTGAGAACATCTGAGATGCATTTTGTACTTACTGTATAAAATATTCTCCTCAAAATTCTACATAATACTCTTGACGACGCATATGTTTACTACATATCAGGAACCAACCATTATTCGTTTTTTTCTTTTGGAACCATAACGGAAAGGTAGCCTAAGAGTTAGAGCTTCCACCTCGAAAGGAGGAAGTTGAAAATTCGAACCCCTTCCTGATCATACCAAAGACTTATCAAAATGATTCTTACAGCTGCCTCGATTAACGCTCAGTATTACGAGGTTAGTGTTAGGATTGGTCGCCCTGGTGTCAGGATAATGTGGCTGGGTGGGACATCACGCTACGTGTCTGCGGCATAATGCCCCAGTGCTAGCATCACTATAAACTACCCCACTGCAGACGTCGTAGCGATATGACTGAAAAATTTTCAAAGATGTGTTAAAAATACTTCTCTCTCTCTCTCTCTCTCTCTCTCTCTCTCTCTCTCTCTCTCTCTCTCTCTCTCTCTCTCTCTCTCTCTCTCTCTCTCTCTCTCTCTCTCTCTCTCTCTCTCTCTCTCTCTCTCTCTCTCTCTCTCACACACACACACACACATTCACACACACACACACATGTCTCTATAATAATAATCGGAGCCTTATATGGACCTAACATAACTCAGATGTTATTGGAGTCAGCAGCCGTACAAAGAGAGTCTGTCGTAACTACATTATCTGTACAGCAGTTGCACTCAAATGAACAAAGCTGCAATGAGCTTATTTAAATGATGTTTCTTTTGTATGTAGGTTGTTGTTTAATCTAGTAAACAAACAAGTTAACAGTTATTAATTTATTGTAGATGCAAGACTCAGTTCACCACCCCTTACTGTTTCAGTCGCTACTTGACAGCTAGAACAAAGATGTCAACAATTGTCTGAAATGTATTGTGGGCTCGAGTCTTTGGCTCTGGCAACATAGGTATGTCAGCTTACCGGTACCTTCGTATTGGTCGATAGTTCTTCCCGGAGTTTTTCAGGTTTCTTCCTCTACCAAATATACTGACCGCCATGCATAGCCTATCATGTGCTGAAAGACTGCATAAAACCGACAACAAGAACAGTAACAATAGGCCATAGAACAGAATTAATTTTACTATATTGTCTCTACATTTGTTTCTCAGTACTGAACTTTCCACTGTGTGATAATAAATACAAATCATATGTTAATCTAAAATACCTTCCAATATGACTTTACGGTGAAGTTCTTGTCAAGGGTTGACCTGCATTGTTTTGAGAGGTTGAATTGTAAACAAAACACCAGGCAACGGAACACAGATTTCACTTCCGGATCATCACCATGACCTTATTACTCAATGTGCACTGTCGCCGAAATACACACAGACAACCACACCATAAGCTCACATTCTAAAGAATAAACAATTGCCTTTAAATCCTTACCAAGAATGCCAAAATTTAACTCTAGTATCACCACCAAACTTAGACAGGAAAAAGTGATCTAAAAATAGACTGGGACTACATTCGTGGGTACTGAACCGGATTTTATTAATTGTATACTGATGCCAATAACCTGAACCGTTTTATGTTGGTTTGTTTATGAAGAGCCTGTTAGATTGTGTTTGTTATGCAAGATTTATCTCCCTTGAAATGTAAACCATAGTTTCTCTTAATCAGTCTTCAAGACGGTTGAATCCTCAAGACATCTGGCAGATTTGCCACGTATGTACGGCGCTACATCTGAATATTGTGAAAGATTTAATAGTTACGACATTGTAAGAAAGTTGCAAATTTAAACTCAAGAAACCATTCACATATGTGTTTGCTTTAATCTCAACTATCAAAACTACAAACATAATTGTGGGGGTGGAGTGAAATGAAGAAGACTACAAAGGTGACCTGCGATCATGCACCCATTAATACGGCATGATATGAGGGTGTTGTTTTGTTGGGCAGGGGGTTCTTGATCTTTTTTGTGCATTTTGTATGGGGAAGAAATCACATTCAGTGATATTTGACGAGTCACCTTATCTATGGTGGTCTTGCGTGGTCGGGTTACCCATACCGTCAACAGCATGTGTCATTATCGTTTGCTTGACACACCCTTCTAACGATTATTAAGGCTTCATATCAAGATACACATCTAAATACAGGTAACGTCTATCCTGGACGAACCTACTGTAATCATATAGCCTCACAGATTCACTTGAAAGCGCCTGATTTAGCGGTCATGCGTACCGCAGATGAACTGATCTGAACACTGTACCCAATGATCCCATCCAACATTTGCTTCCGCCTATATTCTGACAGTCAGATATCAACGGATTTGTACTTTTTCAATTACATTTCTCCATTATATTATTACATTAACCTAACATACAATATTTGCTTGTAAGCGATCAACTGCCAAAAGTACATTATTGTGACTGTTTTAAATGAAGACAATATCTGTAAAACTCTCAATACCGCTGCTGATCTACAATCTCTGAGAAACGTCTGCAAATTGCGGCAAAACTCCGCAGTTATATTATCAGGCAAGTACATGGCCAGTATATGAAGGACGTTTCCAAATTAAGAGATAGCTACATAATACAAAAAGCTAAATTTCTAAATCAGCAAAATCCTTACAGTTCCTACAGATCTGAGATAAAATGAGCGGCCAGCTCTTTTAAAACACCCTTTAATGCTTCCGCAAGGTGGCTTCTTAACACAGGTTAAATTGTACATGGTTGTAAGAAATATGAAGAAACATCATGACATTTATGTATCTCGAAACGATCATCAGAATTCAAGGAAAGTAAGAATTTCAGTATAACAAGTCCAATTGATGAATTTATCGATGCTATTCAAAGGGCAATTCGTGTACAAGAATACGATCATACGTTATGTGTATTCGGTGAACACGATTCGGTGTTAATTAAATCTAATGCTTAATAGTCACATAATTATTCTTAATTAGACTTAAATATTTTTAACTTTGAATTGCTCACAATACTTCATTCTCATTTACTAACTCTAAGAGAGTTTGTAAAAAAAAAGAGAAAGTGTGTGTGTGTGTGTGTGTGTGTGTGTGTGAAATGGATTTTTAACGTAGCTATAACAACTTTTCAGTCATATCTCTGTGATGTCATGCCGCTGACATGTAGCATGATGTACCATCCAGTCACATTATCCTACCACGAGGCCCACCAGTCCCAACACTGACATCTTAATGCTTTTTTATAGGTATGACTCAGCCGGGGTTTGAACCCGCGACCTCCCGCATCTAAGGCAGACGCTCTAACTACTAGGCCACCGGAGCGGTCCAAAGAGAAAGTAAATTTAATCCAAATGAATTATACGTTTATAAACAAGAAGCTGTACCAAATTCTGCTACGTGCATAATTCCCCAAGCTCATTATTTTATCTTTATTTTGTATTAGTTTTGAAATTATTTCAGGTTCCTGAGGTACAGAGAGAAACAACAGGATTGATCAAGAAAAAGAAATAGCATCAGTTATAAATTAAATGCCTTTAAAAGAAAATATGCTGCACATTAAATTTTTGATAAATGTTTCAGGTTCCCATGATACAAATAGTTTAAGTATATATTTGGATCGACATGTAAAATACAAAATATAGCATTGTGATACAGATTAGGTCAGCCCTCTCCTACTGCTCCCTTAAGTCGCTTATATGCATATGATTCTTGTATATAATAAAAGATTTTCAAAAATCCGTGCAAAAATGCCGTATATATTTCATCTTCTGGTACCAAAAACGAGTACCTTACCAAATTAGGTCAAAGTGATTTTCTACACTATTGGCCCCTTAGTTATATTTTTGAATGTAGTGGAATTCCCCTTTATACTTTATAAACAAATGCAGAAAGGAAAAATGTGAATTCATAATGTGGATCAATGTTTGCTCATGGAGTATATCCGTTACCATGAAAACATAATTTCTGTGTCCCAATGTAAAACTGTTGAGATTTTTTGCCTATCTGTATATATGCAATTCTTAGGCATAAAAATCGAAATTACCAATTCGAGGGAGTGTAGACACATTTCTTGACCCTGTGTCATTTATTGGAAAATATTATCATATATCCACTCTTTTGACTTTATAAATAACAACTCTTGAACTCCAAAAGATATATTACAATAGCAATGATGTCTTAAGCTTCTGTACTCATTGGAGATACATGAATGATCGTTCATGCCTTTGTTTTCAATCTATAAAGACAATAACTTAATACTATCACTATATATATATATATATATATATATATATATATATATATATATATATATATATATATATATATATATATATATATATATATATATATATATATATATATATGCCTTTGTAAGTAGCTTATTGTTACAAACACCATACATTTCTCGAGTGGTAAGAGAGGCTCACTTTTTTCAGACTTGAAAATTTGGACCAAACAAAGAAAAGACTGCAAATCTCAAGTAAGCCAACAAAAAGGATGTTTAATATTTATGATACATTGCTTCGTAAAATCTCTCTGAAATGACGTCAAACTCATCATGAAACGTGAGTAAAATCTCCCCTAAAGCTGTTCCAAAAGTATGAAATGAATGCATGATGGGAATCTTGATATGGCTTTTGGTACTAATGTGCAAAAGTAGCACCATTTTTAGTCTACATTTCCTTTAATATCAAAACGCAAAATACAAAGTTACTACCACCACCGCACTCAACCGAACAGAAAACAAAAAACGAACAACAGAGTACAAAAGAAGAGTGAAATTTAGTTAATGGTGACCTAGTCTTATTAGACTAAATATACTAGAGATGTCCAAATGAGCTTTACATTTCAAACTAGGATTGAACGTTTGCTGTAGCCAGTGGAATTTTGATGTTTGTTATTGTAACAGAGTGAACGATCAGTATAACAGACTGATCGACCGAGAGAGAGATTCACTAAAGGCTGTGATGCATGAGTAGACAAGAGGGAACAAGAGTCCTCCAGTGCAAGTCGACCTCAACCGACAAGCTAGGTTGATTTTGGAGTGTGACCAGCAACCAGTTATCATGTTATTAAGACATACTGGACAATTAAATTTCCAAGCCCACATTCGACTGCGTGACGAAATTTGCCGTATTTATGTACACGGAACTGCTAATCGCAGTTTACACTATTTTTTTCTGGTACATGTGTAAACTACAATAGGTCTAGTACAATTTTATCATGTTTATCTAATTAATTAATTAATTGTTTGTATCCTGTAATGGGTGGTGGCTCGCGTTTTTCTGCTCAGGTCTCAATTTTTTCATAATTTCATTGTTAAATATTTGCTCTAGTTATCGACAACTACCACTATCAGAAAGAAAAACCCACCACACTTCTAAACTATATTCTTTGTTGATTGAAATAATAGTAACTGTCGGTTATGAATTCACAACACTTGAGTGTTTGTAAAATTGGTCAACGGATTTCATAAATTCTACTTTTTCATTGCTTACTAAAATTAATTGGAGTTTAAAAAGTGTGTAGCACCAGTGATGTAGTAGTCTCTCACCATCAGGGGATCAATTACAAGGTACATACAACAAATCAAATTTCCGTTGCCCCTTACATTAATGTTGTTCAAAGAATCCCTTACAAGGTACAAGGTACATAAACTAATTAAGTTCCCGTAGTCCCTCGCTATAACGCTCTCCGGGAGAGCAATTTCATGGTACGTGCAACTAATTCCCATATCCCCTCAGTATGACGCTATTCAGAGGATCAACTGTAAGGCATATTATTCAGTTCCAAAACACCATTATGGCAATATTTTTAAAATCATTATATGTCTGTGTAAGTCTTGTATAACACAATATAATCCTGTACGTGTTGTCTCCAAGACGAAACTTTAAAAACGATACAACTTGTAAGCTGCAAGTTTCGTTTATGAGAAAAATCCCATTGTAGACGCCCACTATACAAATCAGGTCAGGTAAAAGCTCCCCCTTTTACACCCGGTAGTAAATATGCGACGACAGAAAAAATAGATTCAAGCCTACTATAGCATACACCCTTAATTAATATCGGCAATTGTTATAAACCAATCGGAGAGCTTCATTCTTTGGACATTTAATATATCACAATTGTGTTGTAAAATAATTCGTTGCATATAACAATAACAATGATGTGGGTTTGAAGTTTGGTGCAAAATATCGAAGTAGGTTTAATATCAGATTACCGTCATCATATAATTGATCCCCGTGTTATACGAATGAATGCACAATACTCACGTGTTTTATAGAAGAAGGGCCGTGTATATTTCTACCTGTGTCTTCTTTTATATTTGGAAGAAATTCATGAAAAACAATTCAGAGTTCACTCTCAGATAAAAGTTAGTTTATGGTGAATGCATTTAAAGGTTTGCTGTACACATTGTGTGGCATCTAATCAAATAAATTGAATAGGAACATTAATTAAACATGACGCAGATAGTAACACATGAGGATCAAAGATTGATTTCTCATGTCATGGTAAGAAATTCCAGCCTGCAAGTGTGTGTGTGTGTGTGTGTGTGTGTGTGTGTGTGTTTATTTATCCAACCATAAATGTGTGTAACGACTATGGCATCTTTAATTAATTCTTAGTCAAACAACTCAATATTTCCTTAAAAATATAATTTAAGTTTTTATTATGTAATTTATGTATGAATCTTGTTCTATATATTTGCATATCCATGGACATTTTCTCAACTGTCAACACTCAAACACATACAACCCGCATTTTACTTGGACTCAGTTTTGAGCTGATTTGTCTCATTTTGAATGGCTTTCGTCTGTAGTAATATTCATCAATTGTAATTGCCAATGATGAAGCTATTTCGCGAAAGGTATATGGACAAAGGACGGCCAGCCAACCACCATGTGTCCCAAAGGAGGAAGTCAAAATCTACTCTAATGTATTGTTGTCATTCTTCGAAAAACTGTAACTTTAAATTTCGATAAATTGGTGGAGAATGAATTTTTGCAGATATCCCCTGTACCCTCTTCTTTACTCCAGCCCAACTGAAAGAAACATAGATTCTGATATACCGTCGAATAATGTACCATCAGGTCATGGTCTATGTTATTTGTTCAGCTGATTATATTAGTTTCATAATGCTATATTTTCATGGAGACCGATGTTGTTGTTCTTGTTTTTGATATAATGCCATTTCTCAAAGCAAGACAAGCTATACGTGGTCGCCAGTATAAATGGTAGAGGAAAACTAAGTTAAACTATGTAATAAAAAAAACCAGTAAGCAGCACCGACCAATGAAAGGTTCTGGCAGGTTTCTCTCATACGCAAATTGGCCGAACACGATACAAAATGAGATGAGATGACAGAGATCGGTAAAGGCGAGCGCTTTAAACCAATTCGCCATCCAAGGCCTCTCATGGACACCGATGTCCCGGAAATTCTCCAACCCAGAACTGAATTGCACCTGTTGATATACAATGTTTCTATTGACAGTTTTAATCATTTAAATCATATCTTCCTGCTCAAATATTTATTTATTTATTTATTTATTTATTTATTTATTTATTTATTTATTTTGATAATGTCTCGATATAACAACAGGCTAAACGTATCATAACACCCATGTAACCATGGTTTGGGTACTAAAATCTGTCATCTGCTTTATTTTATTAAAACTTACAATTCTGATCAACACATTTCTGATATTTTTACTTCTGCGCCAGCATACATACCGAACAGACATAGAGACTTACAAGAAGACAAGCAGAAAGAAAACCAATCAGACCATTCGATATGCTTGCGGATGCAAAATAGAGCAGTGGACCCTAGTGTATGTCATAAGAGATTCTTAATGGAGGCGGGCATTTTGTACTGGATGAGTCCTTGTGGTGATGTCGCTGAAAAAGCCTTGGACGTCTTAGAAGCATTATATAACATCAGACTTATTTGCCCTTGACGGACTTAACCCATATTAGTCTAATTTAGGATACCTAACTTACTCTTAGTGGTCTTTACCCGTTTTAGTCCATTTTAGGATAGCTAAAGTTGCTCTTGGCGAATTTGATTTCCATATTAGTGGCCATTAGGATACTGAAACTTATTCTTATCCAGTCTATTCCCTGGGGGTCAAAAGATTTCCTTGGTGTCACACTGAGTAAAAAAACCAACATTAAAAGCATGATTATTAGTATTTAGTATATATATATTATTAGTATATATATATATATATATATATATATATATATATATATATATATATATATATATATATATATATATATATAGTTATATAGTTATATATATAGTTATATATATATATATATAGT